CATAGCACAAGTCACTTCCAGGGAAGAAACCCCCCAGCACTTCCCTCAGCACACCAGAGCCCCCACCTAAAGGATGTGCAAGATGCAAAGAAAAAGAAAACCCTTGTCATCTGGCATCCAGGTGCCTCCTGTCCTCTAAGAATGTCAGTGAGAGTTGTCCTAGAATCTTAGCTCAAGTTCCCCTGGCCTAACAACCCAGTAATTCTACAAAACAGGAAAAAAGCATCCTGGACTTGGCCCAAGTTCTTCTTAGTGGTCAGTGCTGGCTGGGAAGGACTGAGGCTTTCCAGTTATTCCAGGCCCATCTGCTGCTAACACTTTTGAGAACTCTCCCAGGATGCAATGCTCTCTCTGCCCACAGCCTCTGAAGTCTACACCCACCCCAGCCCCTGGGATTCCCTTCTCCAGCCTGGGCTCCTTTCTTCTCCCCCAAATTCTCAGAGTAACCAGCAGGGCCTTTTGTTCCTAAGCGCCAAGTGGAAAGAGGTGGAACCCACTCTCTAGGAAGGATGAGACTCTCCAGGTGAGCCAAGCCCAAAATCTCACTCGATTAATCATCTAAAAGGAGCACAACTGGGTGTCAGTGGCTCATAACTGTCATTCTAGCTACTCAGTGAGCAGAGGTCAGGAGGATCCCAGTTCAAAGCCAACCTGGGTAAATAGTTCATGAAACCCTATCTTGAAAATCCATTATAGAAAAGGGCTGATGGCTGGCAGAGTGCTCAAGGTGTAGGCCCTGAGTTCAAACCCTAGCATCACACACACACACACACACACACACAAGAGCACAACAAAAAAACAACAGGCCTGACCAAAGATTTGACCATGTGCCAAGGGCACATGATGATGGTAGCAACCACTCTGGAGAGAGCCATATAAAAATGAGGTCTGATACCCTAAAGGATGGGCCCACAGCTAGAGAAGAACAACCTGACAGAGGCCTACTAGGAGGGGAGACAAGAAGGGACCACGGGTCATGTTGACAGGGCTTTGCTGTCATTGCCAGCCCAGATGATACCAGCCCCCGGTGGGGGGGACACAGTGCAGTTCCTCAGGGCCACAGGGGCTAGAGATTCCATTGCTGCCAGCCTCGCCTTCCCGGAAGTTAATAGACATCACACACTGATCGTGCTGGCTGCCCACCCCTCACTGATCAGCACCACCTTCTCCAGTGTTTGCACCAAACAACCTGTCCCCTCATATCTAAGCATGCATGCACACACACACACACACGTGCACACATATAGTTTGTAAACCTATGCACAGACCTGGATAACTATCCCCAAAATATCTGGCACGAGAACCCTGACACCACCTGTGTGGTGGCAGGAAACACTGTTGGCAGGGTTTTGTGGCTGAGTATCTCATGACTGTTGTCTGCCCTCACACATGGACCATCAGTTTGGGTACTGACTCCTGGCCCATGTCTTCCAGACCTGTAGCATGGCTGGTGGAATATGGGCACCCACACGACAGTCCCACAGCCTGCATTGTTCTCGGGCCCATCCCCTGCTTTCTATCCTTGCCTATGGAGTGCCCAGCAAAACTAATCTTATGACAAAGTTTTCCATCCTCACCATACAGCATTTGCACCCCGTCTTTCTGAAGAAGACTTTCGTTGTCCCAAACTGAGAAGCCCTCTTTCCTGGTTTCCTTGAATGGCTGCATGTGGGCTGAGTTCTGCATCTGCCCTGTTTGCCTGTGTGGATTGTGTAAGGCAGGGACCCCACCCATACTGCCCAAATGCAAAGCCTCCCCAGGTGGGGCACAGGGCCACCCAGCTTTCTTCACCTCCATCAAACCCTAGACCCCAAGTCCTTTTGGAGCCCTGCACACGTCACCAGGCCTAGGATGCTGCAGTGGTTACCTTTGTCCCAGTGTACTCCGGTGTCTGAACAGCTAGTCTCTCTCCAGGCTATTTACAGATGCTAGGGTTCAGATAAGGTTTGAGTGGGTAACCAAACTCAGGGTTCATGTATTGGGAGCTTAGTCCCCAGAATAGTGATGCTGAATGGTGGTGAGACCTTTAAGAGGTTAGGCCTAGAGGGAGGTCCTTAGATCACTGAGGGCACAAGGCCCTTGGAAGGGACTAAGATAACCCTCATGGAAGCCCTGAGCTCTTGAAAGAACAGGTTGTTGCACAGCGAGCCCAACCCCTTAATTGCTCTCTGTCTTCCTATTTGGCTGTAATCCACTTTCTCCCACATGTACTCCCATGATTACCATCTGCCAGGAGTGATATAGCCAAAGAGGCCTTTGCCAGAGTCTGTGCACTACTGTTCGGACTTTGAGCATCCAAAACCATAAGCTAAGTTAACCTGTTTTCTTTATAAAGTTAGCCTGCCTCAGTTATTTTGTTCTGCTAATGTAAAAGAGACTAATGCAATAGAATAGTCTAAAACCTTGGCTGGATCATGCCATGCCCCACCCACTGCTGGCCATGACAGGTGGTGTGCTAGTGCCCAAACCCATGAAGTGATATAGCAAGGACATCCATAGCCTGGAATATTTTTTGTGTCTTTGGTGATGGGGGAGGAGCCCAGAGCTTCATGCATGCTAAGCAAGTGCTCTATGGCTGAGCTATATGGCAAGCCCCTATAGCCTGAAACTTGAAGCCAGCTGTGTCCTTCTGTGGTGATGTCCCTGCTCTGAAGCAGCATACAGTAGCAAATGGCAAGAAGTCTCAGCTCCTGAGGTGGTGGGGAGGTCCCAGCCAGGAGAGAGCATACCACTTGGTCTTTTGTACATCAACCAGAAATGAGCAAGACCTGTCCACATGATCAGAAGTGAGGGCAAACTACCTGCACTCAGGGACAACTAGAGGACACGAGGGAGGTGTCCAGATGACAGCAATGGTTTCTACATCTGACACAGACAGTGGTTGCATGGCTGGGCTCCCTTTGTACAATCCATCAAGCTAGATGCTGAAAACACGTGCACTTTCATTGGAATATTCCATAAAAATCTCCAAAAGCTACCATCAGAAGACAAGTGTCCATACCTTATCCTCATCCCCCTGCTGATAAAAGGCAGAATAAGGAACAAGAAAGCAGGGAGAGCCTGAGCGAGTTGCCCACACATAGGAGACAGGACAAGAACAGATCAGCTCTGGTGCAAAACACCTGGGTATAGGACAGCACAGTTGGGCTGCCTTATAATCCTGCTGCCCACCTGAGCAGAGCACAGAGCACACCTGGGGCCCCCAAGATAACACAAAGACCCACCCTTCAGTCAACTGAAAAGGCAAACAGAACATGTGGGCAGAAGGGAGAAGTGCAGAATCACAGCGCAGCAACGCCAGACGCAGGGACACACACAAGAGGACAGGAGGAATTCTCATTGAGACAGACACAAGGCCAAGACACAAGGCCAAGGGGACCGAGACAGGTGGAAAGGGAGTCTCGCAGTTCAAGTTATCTGAACCTTACAGTCTGCTGTAATTACGCCCAGTACTTTACACATGTGGGAGTATGTCTTTAAGGCCAGCCAGCCTGTCAGTCTGGAGGATAGGCAGAGGACAGGTCCCTTAGGCTTCCACAGAGCAATGTAGCAAGGATGAGCAGCCAGGCACCCAGCCCCACCTTGTGCAGCCGCTATACTGCTGGCTGTGGTGGCCCCTGTGGGCAGAGCTGCTCTTTTTGCAGGACAGGACAGACACAGATATATGATGTGATGTGGGCTCCGGCGGCTGCCAGCAGAGGAGGTAAACACACACGGGAACACAGTGTCGCTGTTCCTGAGAAAGCCCTGACGTCTAGAAATCCTCTGAGCTGCCAACTCACTGCAACGCCCCACTGGCCTCCCCAGCTCAGCAGTGAGAGTTCAGCAAGCTACGCTTTCTTGTTTTAGCTATATTATAGGGCATTTCTCCATGACAAATTTTTTAGTGATACTTTCTCTTCAGAGCTTCACAATGTTTTGAGGACATTAATTCAACCTCACGCCAGGGTGTCACTGTTCAAAGCAGCAGCCAAAACCAGGCACACTGTGTGCACGATGGCAAGCTCTGGACAAAGGGCAGCCTCTGCCTCTCAGGCTCTTCCTGATAGGAATGCCCAACTTCCCCATTAGCTAGGTACAGGCCCAGCCTCAGGGTAGCCACTGCAGCCTCATGGTGTACAACAACAAATATGGCTTTCCTAAGCTCCCCACCACCACCAAAGAGGACAAAAGCAAGCACTTAAAAGTTAGCATGGTACTGAAGACCTTGCTGAGACTCCTTGGAATATCCAGAGGCACATACTTTTTTTTTAAGTGTGCATATATTATTTTTGCAATCTAAAAATGAAAGTTGAGAAAAAAAATGGGAAGGAATGTTGCACCAATAACCTGAAAGGTTAGCTCAGTTGTTTTGGGGTAATCTTACTTTTCTGGAGCCCATTATCAAACCATGTGGTCTGGACCAACAAATGCCAGATTCTGCCATGCTGCTGTCACATGCTGAATGACATGTTACCAAGAGAAGGGTCTCCACTCCCACCCACCTGGAATGTCAATAGCAAGTGTGGCCTCACTTCTACAAGCCCGCCAGGCCTCTCTGTCTTGTACCATTTCTCTCTAGACCCACTCTAGATATTCTCAGAAGCAGCACCCATGGGCAGACACCAGGGTGCTTGCAGAGCTCACCAGGTGGTACGGAAGCCAGACATGGGAACCACCCCACAAACTGCATGTGATTTACAACCATCATGAAATGAGATTGGAACAATGGCACACAGGCAAAGTCATCGATGAAGCACAGAGGCTGGGCAGAGAGGACAGCCTTCATTCAGGGAAGGCCTATTATTGCCTCACGTCAAGGCAGGCAGGAACTTGGACTGGGAGAGTACACAAGAATGTGGGCCTGGGGACCCACAGTAGCAGCTCCAGGGAGGTGGGAGCCCAAGGCACCTCATCCAGCTTTGCCAGGGCACTGGGATTCTGGGGGAGGGACAGAATCTCTGATGTATCCACCAACAGTCACCCTCCTCAGCCCCCCACCATCCCACCTAACAGGTTACCTGATGCAGAAGGGCTCTTGGGAGGAGGCTCAGGAGGAGCAGAAGCACTGGGAGTGGGCATTGGCACTGAACAACCTTGCCAATCCTCCTGTCCCCTTAGTCTGAGTAAACAGACTTGCTCCAAAAGGTTGCCCAGGGGGTTAATAACCAAGTGAGAGGACGTGCCATCTAGCTGTCCCTTATAGCTGCTGTCACATCTGCCTCATGAAAAATAGCTTTGAGCCCAATGGTGGCAAAATAGAGGTCAGCAGGTCCACAGCAGGACAGGTCTGCTGAGCACGTGACCTTCTACTGAAGGGGGCCCGAGGTTCAGGACTTGTTCAAGGGCAGAAAATTCACTCTGAAGCTGCGGCCCAGCAGGAGGACAGGAAGCCCAGGAGAGGTACTGGGGTAAAACAGGGAACTCCTGTGTCCACTGCCCAAGAGGAAAACAGGCAAAGTCCAGGCTGCTGCAGAGTCCAGCAATGAAGCCAGGTCTGGGTGCAACCCTGCGCAACCTATACCCAATGCTCTCCGGGTGGGGGCGGGAGTCTATCAAGCCACCCCAGTAAAGCTTCATCCAAACAGGGATGACCGAGCACTTGCTGCCTACTCAGATATATATCAGCTGTCATCCTGCTGCCTCACAGCAGGCTGCAAGGAGCGGATAGCGTGACTCGGCTCCAGAGCAGTCCCTGATGATAGCCGAAGCCGCAGTCCACCACCCTGTAGTTACCACGCAGCTCCCCACAGCAAGTCTGGTCCTGCCTGCCCGCGGTTTCCCCGCACCGTCCTAGCAGGGATCATCGGAAACGCTTTCCAGTACCGCGTAGGGTGCTTCGGTTGGCTGGAGTCAGTCTAGTCTTTCCGGACCCGACAGAATCCTGAGCCAGGCCGTTTGATTTCCATTCTACGCCTTGCAAAGGGGAAACTGAGGCAGGAAGAGGCGGTGCGGTCAGTCCCGCCCCAGATGAGCCTGACCCCGACCGCGTCCCCGGAACCCGGAGTCCCCGAGCCCGGGCCGGCCCCTCCGGGAGCACAAGCCCGCCAGCCCCGGCCGCCAGCCGCGCACTCACCGCCTCCGCCGCCGCCGACTTCCGGGTGCCGCGCCCGCACGTCGCAGCAGCCAACTCAGGTCCCGCCCCACCCACGGCCACTGCGCTCGCCATTGGGCTGAGCTGTGAGGGGCGGGGCCTCATGCTGCAATCTGGAGCCCTAATGGCTGCGCACGCTGTTGCTCAAAGTCTGCAGCCCTCCCAGCGCCCCGCCTCCGGGGCTGCGCCAAGTATGAGAGCTGCGAGGGCGTCTGGGGTCTGCCTTACCACGCGGCTTTCCTGGCCTCTATTGCTCCCCAGTCCGCAAGATGTCCTAGAGAAATTGCAACAGCTCCTGAACCCATCTGTCACCTGTTCACTATGCTGCCCTCCCTGGAAGGGACCCGCTCCTCTCAGGCTGGGTCCTGCTCCCCCCTTCCCCATCTGCCTAACTCCAACCTCTGGACCTGGCTATCCTCAGCCATGGACATCTCCCCAATTCAGTGCAGTCTGCCTCTTTGGCCCCTTCACACTGCAGTCCTGACCTTTGATGCCCCTGCATCTCGAGGCACCCCAGACCCTAGACCTAGCAGTTCTGCCCCACCTGGGCCTCTTCAGCATATATGGAGGCTGTTCTTTCATAGGTCCAGACCTCAAAGGTGAGTTGCACTAATGAGCAGGTAGGCACTGACTGGGGCCCTCCCAATAGGACAGAGGCATTTGCTGGGGCTCCCTGTCCCCATTGATTCTGAACTGTGCCCGGGGTCTGAGCAGCACAAAGATGAAGAGTCAGAGGCCCAAGACCTGCCCCAAAGTGAGTGCTCAACAAACTCTGACACATTAAGGATAATGATAATGTGTTCAGGACTCTAAACCCAGCACCTTAGCCCACAGTGTTCGTCCACCCTACTTTACAGACATAAGCACTGTCTAAGCAGTTATGGCATTCAGGTGAAGTAAAAAAAAGGTGGCAAGTGACAGTGCTGGATTAGTCCCACAGGCCTACATTGAAGACCAGGATTATGAAGTACTCTCTCTGATCCTGACCTGAAGGATCAGGATTCCCTGCAGGAATTTGGAGCACAAAGATTGAAGACTAGAGTCTTACCCAGAGCCACCTGCAAGCCCATTTCTGCCCAGTTCTTTCGCTGTCTCATCTGTGTCCCTCCTGGAACCCAACGGACTCCAGATGCCTGGAGCCTCATGGCCAGCAGGTGGCAGGCCTAGCCAGACATGCCATTCTCCCTCCTACAGCCTGGCAACACAATCATGCTGGGCTGGTGCCAGCAAGCTCCCTCTGAGCAGTCAGACCGTGTGGTCCATAGGGCCAAGAGGTTGTGATGTTGGACAAGGAGGACCTAGGACTTGGGGATAAGTAAACCATGCCTTAGGGACAGTGGAAGCAAAGTGGGTTGCCCCTAAAGCACGAGGCCATTAGCCTCAGTGGGGTGTGGATTGGCCAAGTTTTCCATCACTCACAAAGAGCAATGCAGTAAATTGTTGGAATGGTGGTTCAAATTCTGCTCTATCACAGAAGGCACATGGCCCCTGGTCAACCCCTTCTCTAGTCATATTCCCCCACCCAGGCCCTCTGATGTTCTCTCCCACTATGGACTCATTTGAGTCTGGAAAACATATGGTGCCAAGGAGCAGGCAAAAGCAGATGACATGGGTTTAACATGGGCACCTGAGTCCTGGAATCTCAGGGTGCAAAGGGAGCTGACTTCCATCCCACTTCTAATTATCCTCAGACAGGGAGCTCACTACTTCCTGTGGTCACCCTTTTAGTCTCTTAAACACCTACAACTGTTAGGAAATTCTTCCTGACATCCAACAGCCTTTTTCTCTCTGTGGTTGTCACTACAGAGCTGGCCAGCAGCTTAGTGGAAAGGATGAGAGAGAAGGACACTGGGCTACTAGCCCAGTCTGGTCTGTTTCTGATCCCTGTGTGCAGCCTGGTGGGAAGCCTGCCAGATAGTGGCCCTGACACCTATTTGAGCTGGTTCTGCCCACCCTGATCCTCTCTATGCAGCTGATGATCCAGCTCAAAGACAGACAGGTCTCTGGAATACTATGTGGATGGGTGGGGGATGAAAATGTGGGGGATGAAAATGTGGGGGAGAGCAGTTTTCACCTGGGCTGATTTTAGTGGATAAATCTCCCCCTTTCCCTCTTTCAGCAGAGACCTGTTCCGTCCTTCTTGCCACCATCACCAAGTGTAGGGAGGGAGTGATGTAGCACCATGAAATCATCATGAAAGGAAGGACTCCAGAAGGACCAAGGTCTAATGCCCTTGGGGAGATGCCTGGGTACAGTTGGATTTATTAAATTCACTCCAAAATGCCCCAGGCACACAGCATCTGAGTCAAAATGTCACCTGTGGTGCTGCTCCACAGAATGAGAGCTACCTTGTTTGTGGGGCACCTGTGTTCTAGGGAGGGATGCTTCATTCTGCCTTCTCAGACCTGCAAACGACATCCCTATGCCAGGATACCAAATGGCTTGCCACTTCAAGCCATTAATGCAGTGCCGATGGATTAATAGTGGCTGCCTTGGCTCTGAAAAGCTAGGATCCATTGACCATGACTGTCAGGACACTGGTGGACCCAATGTAGTACCTATGGCAAATTCTTCCTGCAGACCATTTTGCTTTCTTTGTTCTGCAACTATTGTATGAACACACGGGTCTCCACTAAGGTGAATGAGATATGAGTGTCTTTCTCATATGAGTGATATGAGGGGTCCTGTCCCCTCCTCCCCTTCTCTCCACCTCCATTGGGATTGTCTGCTACCAGTTTGGCTCCACTGGGGCCTTGGGAAATGCAGACAGCACAGGAAACTGGTCATCTTCCCTGTGCATCCAGGGCCGGAAAGGCTAAGACGGAGCATTGCCTTCCCCCAAAAGCCCTACTGGATAGAACTGGGTCCCCTCACACCACAAAGTTAAATGGAGCTGGCCAAGGATTATGTTCCCATGTGTGTCCTGACTGGGTTTGTGCTCTCTGTCTGATAGACAAATGCCACCTGTGCTCATCTCAACAGGACAGAACCCCATAGTGTTCCTCCACAATTCCAGGTAGGGCAAAGGAAATGGGGCAGGAAGATTGGGTAGAGAGAAAAAAACACGCATCGTCTCCTCCCTGGGTTGAGGGCTGTACCAGTACCCTGAGGAGGTGAGAAGACCCTGCAGGGTAAGTAAAGTCCAAGGGGTCTATGGATACAGGCCGAATGGGGGAGGTAACTCCCCACCCCCACGCCCCGGTTTTCCAGCCTTCGGAAACACTGCAGCCTAACTCCGTCCCACCTCGCTAAGCCAAGAACGCAACCTTTCCTTTGCTAGGGACCCGGGGGCAGTGAGAGTGCGAGTCTCCTTGTCCCGGAAGCGGACGTCTGGATTCAAATACTAATCTAATCTAAAGCAAAGGAGTACCTCTCCAGACCTCAGTTTTCCATCTATAAAATGGGGGGGTAGCAGTCGAACTCTCCCTCGCGGGCTGTGTGAGGAACACAATTAGATCTCAATAGAAGAGATCTGCGCGCAGCGCCCGGCGAACAGAAGGCGCTAGAGGATACCTGCGAAAGTGGGGGTGGAGATGGAGGCAACGCAGCCGGAGTCTGGGAAAGGGCCGCCGGTCGCGCCAGTCCCCGCTCGGGGCCCGACGGTCCGGGGACGTCCTCGGAAGGCGGCCGGGAGGTGGCAGTCCCGAGCCCGCCACCGCCGCCGCAGCGTTCCAGGCAGGTGCCCGGGCCTCGTCCCCTCAGGGAGGGGACCGGTCGTCGGCTGGGACTGACACTCCAGGGGACCAATAACAAGCTGCTGTCTCTACGCATTCGTCCAATAGGCGCCGGTTGCCGGGCCGCGCCGGGTCTTTCGACCAATAGGAAAATTCGCGGTTGGATGGGGCGGGGCGGAGTGCCGCGTCGCCCACCAGGGCCGCTTTGCGCACGGGCTCGGCTAGGGGTGGGGAGGGCTGGCCCGCGGACTGCGCGCTGGGCCGGGGAGGGAGGGGCTGCCCCCGCACCGGCTCAAGTTGAGGCTCAGTGGACCGCGACCCGCGCCGCGCCCTGCCTTGGGGACGCTGTTCCTCGCGCGCTAGGGTGCAGGGGTCGCCCGTCTGGGTGCGGGGGCCGCGCTGTGGAGCCGCCCACGCTGCGCTCCAGGTAAGCTCGGGCCGGTGGGTGGGGTCCGGGTCCAGGGCCTGGGTCTCAGGGTTGGAGACCCTCGACAAATCCAGGATTGCGGCGGGAACCGGGGCTGGGGAGAAGGTTTGGGACTGGGGAGCGTCTAGATTGCGATACGGGCTCAGGAAGGATCTGGGTCCTGGGCTTGAAGTCACGGTCCGGGCCGGGGTCCAGACCTGGGGTTGGAAGCTAGCTGCGCCCCACCCGCGCCTCGCCGGCCCCGCGGCTACCCGCGGGAGACCCCAGGTTGGCGGGGGTGGGGCCCTTTGTGCGTGGCCTCGGGGCCCTGGCCGGACCGGCCCTACCTCGCGCGTCCTCGCTGAGCGCGACCCAGCTCCGCAGCTAAGTCCTCCCTTGAGATGACAGAGCCTGCAAGTCGGGGCCGGGTAGCCACGGAAACTTTCCAAGGGGCGGCTAGGCCGGGCGGGGAACTTTCCTGGGGCGGTGCGCCGCTGGAAAGCGCAGGGGCCCGGCCATCGGACCAAGGGGATATCACCGCACTATGCCTCAGGGATGTGCGAGGAGATGCCTGTGGGGATCCCTGCCAGGTGTCCCCACCTGAGTTCCTTACCCACATACACCCCCTTGGTCAGGCACTGTCCCTGGCTAATGGTAACTTAGCCCAGGTTTGGGGAGGAGTTGCCCCACGAGGTCTGAGTTTTCTGGCTTTGCCGTTTCAATTTTAAATAATTAAATATTGGGTTCATGCAATATTTAGCCGTTTTTGTACTGTGTGTCATGTGTCAGAGTAAATATAGGACTAGGGGACTCCAACTCTTCCTTATAGATTTGGAAATGACAGAAAGAAATGCCCCCCCAATGGGTGTCAACCTTTAGGGCAGGCTCCTGATGTTTC